GAATACCAAGTGGGATTTGTTGATTTAATTCTGTTCATGTTAAGGGGTAAATGGAGGGAAACTGAGATGGGGCACCCATCAGTTGTAAAGGGAGACTGGCTAGAAACCCCATAATGATCATTCTGAATTATCACCTCGATAGGACAAACGTCCGGTCAGTCTTGGCTCTTGTTGGAGCTGATCTCTGTGGACTTCACCCTATCCCAGTTAAAAGGATACTTCTCTGCTACAGAAAAGGTATTAACACAGTGATCTTAGCCTAGCGATGCTACCCACGGGGAACATCTGTACATTCTCCAAGTTGTTTTCTATGGTAGGGCAGACATGTCACTATTCTCTAGCTTTAATACCTCAAGTCTTTAGGATAAAAGGGCAAAGGAAACCCACCAATCCCTGAACACGAAAGCTAAATGATCCCTGAGCTCACTCAAGCTCAGGAGTTGAAATCCTCCCACTGCAGGAGCAGAGATGTAACACGTTGGGGAAACCATCCCTTCCGGAAGCAGAACTGTTACACTTTCTCTGGGGAACCTTCTCCTGCTGCAGCTAGAGCAGAGATGTTAACACTTTTGTCCGGGAACCTTTCCCTTCAACACTCAAGCTATTTGCCGATGATGATCCGGGTATTGCTGACAATCTGTTGTGTCTCAGGCCAAGAAGGTTTAAATGGGACCACTTTCCTATTGTACCTGAAAGGTTCACTGCGCTGCAAGTCAAGGTTGCTTATCTGTGTGAGGTTTCCAATCTCCTTCCGACGGTGTTCAGGTTGATGGTGAGCGACAGCCGCAGTAACGAGGTTATTATGTCATTCACCGTTTCAGATTGTTCTCTTCAGTGCTAAGTGTGCGGAGTTCTGGTAGATTTTTTAAAAAGATTTATTTATTATATATGAGTACACTGTAGCTGTCTTCAGACACACCAGAAGAGGGCATCAGATCTCACTACAGATGGTTGTGAGCCACCATGTGGTTGCTGGGAATTGAACTCAGGACCTCTGGAAGAGCAGTCAGTGCTCTTAACTACTGAGCCATCTCTCCAGCCCAGATTTTTTTTTTTAAATGTCCTTTTCTACAGTTGTTAGACAATGAAAATGAAGGAACAGGGTGGTGAGGGGATCTAGCCTGTCTACCCCGAAAGCATTTCTCAGTTTACCATGCCATAACGAAGCACCCGTAAGCAGCGAGAGCTAGCGAGCCAGCACCACGAAGCTGAGCAGACGGCCTAGTTCTGTTACTACAGTTAATTACTGTACAAACGAAGGTCTGTTGGTTGAGTCAACTTAGACCGCTGGTGGGGGTTTATGTATAGATCTCTCGGATATCTCCAATCACAAAGCTCTTCTCCGGGCATTTGTTGAGCTCCTCAATTACCCTGGCATTGCTGGTTTGTTTGTTTGTTTGTTTTTTCCTAGTCCCAGGTGCTGATTTGACCATTTGATGATGCCCTGGGTGGGTAGTGCTGAAGTCTTCCTTTCCATCTTTGTCATTTTTTCCTTTGGTTTTGAGGTTCTTTTTCTTTGCTTTCTCCAAATCTCCAGAAGCTCCTGCCTCTTTTTCTCTTTCCTTGGTGGATGATACTTTGGGATCTTTCTTTTTTTTTTTTTCCCTTAGATTTATTTTATTTATTTCATATATATGAGTACACTGTAGCTGTCTTCAGACACACCAGCAGAGGGCATAAAATCCCATTACAGATGGTTGTGAGCCACCATGTGGTTCCTGGGAATTGAACTCAGGACCTCTATAAGATATCAGTCAGTGCTCTTAACTGCTGAGCCATCTCAGCAGTCCTCTTTGGGATCTTTCTAAAAATGTGTTAGCATGAAGACGAAATCGGCCTGGAGTTGCCTCCACGTGTCACATGTTAGATGTTTCTGATAACCCATTTCAAATGGTGCCAGGCAGTCAGTGATTCATTATAATTCTTAGGTGAGAGGAACCTCAAAACCGCCTCACGGCAAGCAGGAGAGAGTAATCTCCACAGGCTGTGCCCTGGGGGTTGCCTCCTCTTCTCAGACTTACACAGTGAGGTGAGTACCCCTTGATATGCAGCAGTGGGGTACGCCAGACCAGATGGGGGACTCTCAGAGGGGGCCCTGAGGAAGATTAGTTAGACCCAGCAAGGCTTCTGCCGGAAGCAGATCAAAAACACTTTTACAGGACTTGAGGGCTGGTGGGGTGGTTCACTGGGTGGAGGCATTTGAGGCCCTGAGCTTGACCCCTGTAGAACTGGTGGGAAGACAACTGACTCTCAAAGACTGTCCTCTGAACTCCACATGTGTGTGCTCACTGTGCCCTCCGCCAATGAATGAATGAATGGGAAAAATAATTTCATGGCATTGACCGTTTTTGCTGTAAGTGAAGCCTATTAAACACCAAGGCAAAACATAACTGGTATTACAGTCAAACACTGTTTGCTCAGATTACTTGTTAAGAGTTAATCCTTCTGAGCTGGAGAGATGGCTCAGTGGTTAAGAGCCCTGACTGCTTTTCCAGAGGTCCTGAGTTCAATTCCCAGCAGCCACATGGTGGCTCACAACCATCTGTAATGGGGTCTGATGTCCTCTTCTGGTGTGTCTGAAGAGAGCAATGGTGAACACATAAAATAAATAAATAAATCTTTAAAAAAAAAAAAAGAGTTAATACTTCCAAAGTGCTTAATGTCCGACACATACTAAGGGTAACATTGCCTTTGTTAAACGAATAGCACATAGCCATTCTGAATACTGACTGCATATTTATAAAAACACTTTAAAAAAGTCACATCTAGTTAACTTTCATTCTCAACTACCACAGAAGGAAAGCCGTCAACACTATGAAGATATTTCTCAATTATGAAGAGAAGTGCAATGCTGAAGAATTCTACTCAATAATAATTGATAACATCCGCCAGGCGGTGGTGGCGAACGCCTTTAATCCCAGCACTTGGGAGGCAGAGGCAGGCAGATTTCTGAGTTCAAGAGTTCGAGGCTAGCCTGGTCTACAGAGTGAGTTCCAGGACAGCTAGGGCTACACAGAGAAACCCTGTCTTGAAAAAAACCAAACCAAACAAAAAAAATTGATAACATCCAATAAACACTGGCTTTGTCTAGTGAGTGAAGACCTCTCATGTTATCATTTTATTTAATTTTCACTGGGTTCCACAGGGATAGCTAAACTCATAGGACCTTTTTTTCTTCTTCTTTGAGACGGGTCTCACTATGTAGCTCTGGCTGGCTTGGATTACTACGTAGACCAGGCAGGCTTGAAACTCTCATAAGAGATCCACCTGCTTCAGACTCCAGAGTACTGGGGTTAAACCAGAAAGATTCCGGGTGTAGGGGCATAGCTAGCTCAGTTGGTCGAGTGTTTGCCTAGAACGGGCAGAGTCCTGGGTTTTCATGCCAGCATCCCATAAATGGATTGTGAAGGTTTATACTTTGTATCCTAGCACATGTGAGGTGGATACAGGAAGAACTTAAGTTCAAGTTTATCCTCAACTACGTTGAGTTTATTAAGACCAGCTTGAGCTACGTGAGGCATGGTCTCAAATAAAAAAAAAAAAAATTCTGGGGGCCAGAGAGATGGTTCAGAAGTAAAGAGCTTCTCTTTCTTTCAGAGGAGCAGAGTTCAGTCCCTTGCACTCCCTTGCACCCACATCTGGCAACTCTCAACCAGTGACAACTCTGGATTCAGAGGATCCAATGCCTCTACATCCCTGGGCTCAGCAGGCACCTGGGCATACTGGCAGAGGGAGACACACACACACACACACACACACACACACCTATATATCTAATTATAAAATAATAAAAATAGATCTTAAAGTAGTCCAAAAGTATCTTCTGTGGTAGCCAAGCCTGTAATCCCAGTACTAGGGTAGCTAAGGCTTTGCCAGAAGTTCATGGTCAGCCAGGGGCGGGGTGGAGGGGGTGGGGACAATAAAAGTCTTTTATTTTTACAAAACTATAGGACCATGACAGCACGTGCTCAGGTTCTTTCCATGGCCCCAGGAAGGTGTTTTGCCAGTGAGTTTGCCAGATGTTTATGTTTCGTTTGTTTTCTGATAAATCCTCCAGGTTACACCCTGAAAACCCTCAGGAGGAACAGGGAGAAGGCACAGTTTTTATTCAAATTGACCTTGCCTACATTCACTGTTTGTTTTTTTGCCAGCCATGCTCTCTACTTCAGTTTACGAAACTTTACCAACACCAACTTCCACATAAACAGAAAAATGGCATAAAGCCTGCGCCCAATTCAGTCCTAAAAAGTAACCCAGAACTGGTTGGAACTGAGCCGTTTGAGATCACCGGTAGCAATTTCCAGGAAATTATTTTTCTTACTCTTCCATTTTCCACCTTAAAAGGGGTGTTCCAGTAATTCTGCCAGCAGGGGACCAGTCCAAGTACAGAAGGGCCAAAGTCAAGGTCCACAGAAGGCAAAAGGCAATTCTGTTAACCTAATCACATCAATTACAAAGTCGAATGTGTACGTTACTCTGAAGGCATTTGCTCCTGCAGTTCTACAGAATGATATGCTGAATCACTGAGCTGCATAATGTTGAAATCCAGTCACTGAGAGCCCTGAGCACGTGTCTTCGATCCCAGTACTAGGGAGACAAAGGCAGGCAGATCTCTATGAGTTGAATGAAGGCCAGCCTCATGTACATAGTGAGTTCCAAGCAAGCCAGGTCTATATACAGTGAGATGCTGTCATAAAGATTTTTTTTCTTTTTTCTTTTTTTTTTTTTTTTTGGTTTTTCGAGACAGGGTTTCTCTGTGTAGTCCTGGCTGTCCTGGAACTCACTCTGTAGACCAGGCTGGCCTCGAATTCTTGAACTCAGAAATCCACCTGCCTCTGCCTCCCAAGTGCTGGGATTAAAGGCGTGCACCACCACCGCCCGGCAAGATTTTTTTTCTTAAATAAACGAACAAATTCAGTTATATTCAGAATTCAGAAAATGTAAGATTAAATTAAAAAACCCACGTCTAATTATTTTAAACACACAGAATGAAGACATACCTCCTAAAGCCCCACTGTGATCTAGACTTTTCTTTTTATAGCCATTACAGGCGATCACAACAGGAACGACAACGGAGAACAGCCAGCGCCATGGAGAAACAGGCCGCAAGTTACCTGGGAAGTTATAAAGGTAGAGAAACGGGCTGTAAGTGACCTGGAGAGGTGCAAACACGGAGAACAGTGTGAAGGCTTGGTCTTCTAAAAAAAGGTTTTGAATCAATCGGTCAATCTATCTACTATCTATCATATCTATCTATCTATCTATCTATCTATCGAGAGGGTTTGTCTGTGTGGCCCTGGCTGTCTTGGAACTTGTTCTGTAAACCAGGCTGACCTCGAACTTAAGAGATCCGCCTGCCTCTACCTTCTGAGTGCTGGGATTAAAAGCGTGCGCCACCACCACAACTCAGTTTATTAAATATTCTTAAAATTCTTTTCATACAATATGAAGAGCCAAAGGGACCAACTGAAGCTATAGCTCCTTCATTTGCATTAGGTGTCTGGTCCTAGTGGACAGTCGAGCTTAGAAATCCTAGTTTGTTCCACTTACTTATGTCAGAATGCTCTTGTCTGTCTGTATAGGTAAATTCTTTTTTTTTTTTTTTTTTGGTTTTTCGAGACAGGGTTTCTCTGTGTAGCCCTGGCTGTCCTGGAACTCACTCTGTAGACCAGGCTAGCCTCGAACTCTCGAACTCAGAAATCCGCCTGCCTCTGCCTCCCAAGTGCTGGGATTAAAGGCGTGCGCCACCACCGCCCGGCTTTGTATAGGTAAATTCTAAGCCAGCTTCAAACTTAAAAACAAAATCTTTGTGTGTGCGTCAAGTGTGTTGTAGTGCACACTTTTAATCCCAGCATTTGGGAGGCGGAGTTAGCAGATCTTTTTAAGTTCCAGGCCAGCCTGGTCTACATAGTGAGAGCCTGTCTCAGAAAAACAAAAACATTTTATAAAAAAAAAAGTGTGTGTTTGTGTGTGATGTGTGTGCCTGAATGGGTATGTATTTGTTTGTGTGTGTGTGTGTGTGTGTGTGTGTAGACAATGTATAGACAATGTGTATGTAGAAGTCAGGATAACTTTGAGTTGGCCCAAGAGTTCCTGGGGATATTCCTATGCATCTTAACTCCCAGGAGCACTGGAATTATAGATGTGTTCTACTGTGCCCAACCTCACATGGGTTCAGGGGATTCAAATACAGGAGCCTGAGATCAAAGGATTTGAGTTTGAGATTAGCCAAGGCTACAAGCTGGGGCCTTGTCTCAAAACAAAACCCCAAGTAACAACAGAAACAAACAAGAGTGGGCTATGGAGCAGCCCCTGATCACAGGCACATGTGCACAGAATATGCAAAACCTTGGATATAAGCCCCTTACTGTTAAAGCCAAATCCAAAACAATCCTTAAGAACTATATGTATATAATCCAAATATATTAATGCCACAGTGAAATCCATTATCTTGTACAATGGATATATGCTAAAGAAGAAAAATCTGTAAAGGCTTTTCCTATGTTGAAGTATCATGTAAAGTCATATACAAAGGTTTGCGGTTGTAATCCCAGCACTCTGGAGGCTGAGACAGGGAGCAGGAAGAGTTCAACAGTAGTAGGAGCTAAGATAGCAAGCTTCAGCTTCTTAAAGGCAAAGACATACCAAGAAGCCAAAGCAAAACCAAAGTACCTCCTTTCTGCCAAGTGGCTGCAAGGTACATTGAAGATCAAACCGGACAAGCACGGTAATAGTGCCAGCTCTAGACGTCTATTCTTTTGAAGTGACAAATTCTTCAATTTCCAAATGTAAAGACAGTACTGCCTTTGTTATTTTTACGGGATTATGAAACCGCTAAACCATTATTAATCTTAAGATGATAAAAAAAAATCACCCAAATTGTTTCACAAAAGTACCCTTTTCTGTCTTTTTTCCCCCCCACTAAGGTAAACAGAAATAATTATTTGATACATGCATTTTGTGAGAGGTATAATTAAGTATCAGCACAAGAAATATCATGAAATGCTGTAAAGTTCCCTAAGCATTGTTTATCTTGTCACAGTAGCAAACTAGATTCAGGCTGTAGTAGTGAATATAATCATTTTTAACCATTTACATATTTTTTTGATTTTTGAAGTCATACTTGAAAATTCCACCCATTAACTTCTAGCAAAACTTAAGACATTTTTACTTACCATAATAGGTACTAGCAGTCATTGACATAATCCAGAACGCTAGGGAAATGCAAATGATCAGGCTCAGGATTACTATATTGGTAATCATCTTTATATACTTTCTGCACGTATTGTCGTCAAGATCTGTCATGGAAAACAGAGCTAGGAGCACCTGAGTGGGGGGAATAGAGAGCATTTCAGATGAACCAAGCCATTCGAGTTTCTTGCAACAATACCCCTTTAGAGGCACAGAAAAATACCAACATCTTCCACCAACGGAACGACAGAACAGAATCGTAAATCCAAAACTTCTAGTCACTGCTGCAGGCGCAGCGCTCCGGCTCGACCCAGGGAAGTTAACGCCCCCCTTGGAAAATGAAGGCGCACAGCAGATGCACGGTGGACACGCCGAGACACCACGGCCGCCTGCAGCTCCCACCTAGAGGGACCCGGAAGAAGGGCAAACGACCGGTGGCCAATGGGAGGCCAGTGCCGCAGAGCCCCGCCCCTCACTGGCATCCAGAGCCCCGCCCCCGCACGCCCCGCCCCGCCCCCCGCGAGCCGCGCTCCGCCTCCTCGGCCACGCGATCTGCCCCAGATCCACCTCTGCAGTCCGCTGCTGCCCGGGCGAGCGAACCTAGGCCCGGAGCGGCGCGGGCGACAGCCTTTAGGTCCCCACCGTCTCCGCGACTCCCTCCGTGTACGCATGCGCAGCAGCCCTGCTCCGCTCATGTGACCCTTCGAGGCGGAAGTCGGGCTTGAGTTCGGATAGCTTCTTGGGCAGGTTTGAGCGGTGTTTATGAAGCATCTCCGCAGTAGAGGTTAGGACAGTTTAGGTCTTAGGATTTGTGGACATCCTAGACTTGAGAAAAAAAATGTCACCAGCAAGGATGTGTGGGGCACTAAAACCTGCCGTTGATGAACTGCGAGTGAATTTAGAACCAGTAATGGGTTGTAATTGATGAAGAGTTCATACCAGGCGATGGGGTGTCTTGTGGAGGACATAGGAGTTTATCGTGTAGAAGCAGAATTACTTAGAAAGTAGCTTAAAACAATGGCTTGGTCCTTAACCTGGGCCAGACTCAACTGGTGCTGTGGTATGGGAACATAAATATAGTCCCCACCATTGAGCTTTCGTATAATTATTGTTCTAATACACATTGTGGAAGTGTCTGTTGCCATACACTCTTAAACGTAACTTAATTCGCCTGATGTTATTGCCCTCTCCTAGAGCTTACTATTGAGTAAGCTCACCCTTTCTAGTTCTTTCTGAACTCTGGCTGGCTGGTTCAATTCAGTTGTTCTGGCTCAAACTCCTCATCAAGCTGCCTTCTTCAACCTGGCTTCTCGCAACTTCCCATTGAATTGTTCTGCTTTGCCTCAAATAACTCTGGCAAGGGTTCTAATGATTTGTTCTAATCACCTGGCTCCTTCTCTGGCTTCAGCTGCCTCTGCTGACCTACAGTGAACTTCATAGACTCAAAAATACCCAACTCAAGTACACTGCCTCCCGATTCTGATTCTCACTCCCTCTCCCTAAACTGCTGCTCTTAAATAGCTGTTCTTGTGAGAGATGTATCCTATCTCTGACTCATTCTGTAAAATCTTTCGATTCTTTATACTTTGTCTAACCCTCAATTAGAGGTCACTTTCACTCATGGCTGCTTCCTTCTACAAACTAATTTGACCTTAAAGGAATGTACTAAGGGCGTGTCTGTATTCTAGGCAGAGGGATTAAAGGGGCGTGGCCTGTCTGCACTCTGCCAGATCCTGAAGACCTAGGTCTTTGGATGTAATCCCTTGCTGGATTAAATCCCTCTACAATTTCAAGCCTGTGTATCCTGTCAATTCATTTACACAGCAAACCATGCTATTCTCAGACAATCTGAGTCTTGTACCTCTTATACATGGGTCCTATTGTGCTAGTCCCAGTTCTGGGGATTCAAATCATGTTCTCAGGCTTGGACAGAAAGCACTTTTATCCACAGTGCCATGTTCCTAGCCCCAGTTTCAAAACAAAGATCTCACTAGATGTGGTGGTCCATGCTTATAATCACAGAACATAGGAGGCAGAGGTTGATTATGAGTTATTTTGTCTGAGTGAATAGTAACTGATAACCACATATTTCCGAGGTGTTTCCAGCTAATTGTTGACAGTGTGAGAGACAACAGGACTGTTTCTTGTGTAGTACACAACTGTGACATAACCCAGTTGTCCTGGCTGGTTTTGTGTCTCAATTTGGCACAAGCTGGAGTTATCACAGAGGAAATGCCTCCATGAGATCCAGCTGTAAGGCATTTTCTGAACTAGTGATCAAAGGAGGAGGGCCCATAGTGAGTGGTGCCATCCCTGGGCTGGTAGTCCTGGGTTCTATAAGAAGGCAAACAGAGCAAGCCAGGGGAAGCAATCCAGTAATCAGCACCCGTCCATGGCCTCTGAATCAGCTCCTGCTTCCTGCCCTGTGTGCATTTTGGTCCTGACTTCCTTTAGTGATGAACAGCAATGTGGAAGTGTAAGCTGAATGAACCCTTTCCTCCCCAATTTGCTTCTTGGTCATGATGTTTGTGCAGGAATAGAAACCCTGACTAAGACACTAGTCAATCTTTAAAAGCTTACATTTCCACTCCTGACGGGAGGGGCTTTTTTTTTTTTTTTCCTGGTCAGGCTATGTTTCTTTTGATGTATCTGGGATGTCTTGTGGCTGAAACTATTTTGTATCACTGTGGGGCATTTTGAAAACTTCATGCTATTTTAAATTTCAATATATATGCCAAGACGTTTTTTTCCTTTGGTAGAACACAAAATAGTGGCTTCAACCAAAATTATTATGTATCCGATCAGCAGCAGTTTCCAGACTTTCTCAGCCTCTTCCTCAGCCAACAGTTTTCAGTCCTCCCCAATAAATTTCCAGCCCCCACACCCCAGTAATGGATATGTCCATAGAGATGGACCCAACAGATCAACATAGAGGTCGCCTACCCCAGAATTCTTTAATATGCATTAAATCAGGCCTGCAAGCACACTTGGGTGTCTATTTTGGTAATGGGGAGACTCCAGCATGCTGAGCTTTTGCAGAGTAAAACACTCTTTTGTGTTTACATACTATTTGAGTCCCGGGTGTCATTCTTCGGTGAATCATAGACCCTTACATTAAGTAAATAATTGTATTACTCCAGCAATACTCTGACCACTATTCGTAATGTCAGACTATTGAGTACAGGTTACTAACCTGTAAAATTTTAAAAAGTCTTAAAAATATTTTTTATTTGTATCACTTAGAAAATTTATAATCCCAGCACTTGGGAGGCAGAGGCAGGTAGATTTCTGAGTTCGAGGCCAGCCTGGTCTACAGAGTGAGTTCCAGGACAGCCAGGGCTATACAGAGACACTCTGTCTTGAAAAACCAAAAAGAAAAAAATTGATAAAATGGACTCGTTTTTATTTTGCCACCTATCAGGCTACAGGATGGTCTTGTCTGATCAGTTGTTCTATAAGAAAGCCGTGGCCTTACTGTGATCGTGAGGCCATCTAATGACACTGAAGTCCATGTCAAGTAAGTTCTTTTGTGTGAGTACTGGAGTGTCAACTCAGGGCTTCATGCTTGCTGGGTAATTGCTCTATGCTGTGCTGTAGCCCCAGCACCAAGTGAGTATGGATGTCAGGGATCTTCTTTCTGCTTAGTATAGATCGGGCTAAAACTACCCATGAAATCATCTTACCAGTGAAATGTGGTTTCAAGTGAGTATTTCTCTCCCACCCCACCCCACCCCAACATCCAATTAAGGATGTTTCCCATGTAACAGAGGCAAAGGAGGGAGGGCCCCGATTCCCTCGTGAAAGTTTCCTGCCTAACCAGCTATTTAAAATAACACTTTCATTCATGACTCAGACCCAGGCGTTACTCCCATCCCAAGCTTTCCAGCTACACCTTCAGGTGCAACACTCAGGGACTTTACAAATAAGCGCAGAGCTCAATGTTCATGAGTAGATAGATTGTTGAACAAATTGATGGACCGACGGCAAAGAGCTAGGTGTGCAAAAATCCTGGGACCGTGTGCAACAGCTGACTGTGGCCCGATACGTGAGGGAAAGAAATGAAAAGGAAAGGCCACGGCAGCTCCGAGGTATGGTAGAGGAGAAACGTTATTGAGGAAAACATAGGCAGAGTCAAGGACATCTGGGAGAGTCCAGACAAGAACTTGAGCCATGTGAGGAGAGGGGGGAGGGGGGGGAGGGGACAGAGGTAAACCAAGTGCATCAGCTGGAGGCCCAGAAGAAAGTGAGGTAATCAAATGAGTTGGATTTTATAGGGAGGCAACACAGCCTCTTGGGCTTGGGGTAGGGCGGGGCATATAAACCCTGTAACTGGTTGGGAGTGAGGGATGCTGGGAGAACCTGTTAAATAGGCACCTCAGTCCTTCGTCCTGGGTTTGAAACCTGACGATAGGAACTTGCCTTTTTGTGCATATAAGACTTCTTCAGCCGGGTGGTGGTGCCGCACGCCTTTAATCCTAGCACTTGGGAGGCAGAGACAGATTTCTGAGTTCGAGGACAGCCCGGTCTACAGAATGAGTTCCAGGACAGCCAGGGCTACACAGAGAAACCCTATCTCGAAAAAACAACAACAATAAAAAGCAAACAAACAAAAAACGAAAACAATAAACAATAAAAAAACCAAGACTTCTTCACTCCGAAGGTTCTCGTCTAGAAGTTATCGCCTTTGGACTCAAGCACACGCCACAGTCAAGCATCGTGCTTGTGATGTTGCAGGCCTCTTTGGAGGTCCTCACTCAAGTTCAGCAAAAGAATCCTGAAGAGCTGGCACCAAGAAGTGACTCTTCAAATGACGTCTCTTTGTGATTCGTGTTAAACCCAGCAAACTTCTGTCCTCCTGGATCCCAAACTTTTGCTGATAGATAGGTCATAAAACAAACTATCCTTCCTTACGACTGAATTTGGGATCATCATCTTGGTCACGGTTCTATTGATATGAAGAGACATCATTACCACAGGAACTATTATTATTATTATTATTATTATTATTATTGTTATTGCTGGGCAGTGGTGGTACATGCCTTTAATCCCAGCACTTGGGAGGCAGAGGCAGGTGGATTTCTGAGTTCGAGGCCAGCCTGGTCTACAGAGTGAGTTCCAGGACAGCCAGGGCTACACAGAGAAACCCTGTCTCGGAAAAAAAAAACCCAAAAATATATATATTGTTATTAAATATTTAATTGGGGGCGTGCTGGCTACATGCTGATCTGTAGGCAAGCAGGCAAGCAGGTAGGGGGAGAGAGAGAGAGAGAGAGAGAGAGAGAGAGAGAGAGAGAGAGAGAGAGAGAGAGAGAACCTGAACTTGGTCTTGGCTTTTGAAACCTTAAAGTGCATCTCCAGCAACACATCTCCTCTAACAAGGAC